TTCCTTTAAATAGTCTATAGCCTGCATATCGCTCAGGGCGATAGGTCAGGGTAAATAAATATAACTCAACTCAACTCAACTCAACTCAACTCTATAGCGATAAAAATAAAGAATAGGGTAAGGAAGTTAACTATTATTAAGAACTAGGAATTTAACGAGATAACCTAGGAATTTATTAAGGTCTGGAATAAACTTTATACGTAGAGGACATCTGACAAGGCTGCGATTAATAGTATAGTTAGTGAAGTAGGAAACGGTTTACTCCCTATTACATTGCGTCTCTTATTAGTGAATTAACATCGTGGGTTTGCGAGTAAGCAGGCATGTATAGTGTGTACTTATTATAGTTTCACTTCGCCGTCTTTGCGCGGTGTTTATTATTCAGGTACATTAATTCTTCTCCTGGTACAAACATAATTCATACTATCGGAACATTATTCGCCTTTCAACCCCCAGCTTTCATCCATATCCAAACCCACAGGACGGCGCTTACTGGGAAAGACGGCTGCCAATCTTAGCGTCCTGGTAGCACTGGTAGTGATCGCCATCAGTCTTGGGCGAAACAACTTGGATCTGATCGCAGCACTTCTGCGCTTCGTCGTCGCAGCCAGCGGCGCCAGAGCTACGGCAGGACTCGGCCTTGCTGGCACAGTCCTCGCTGATGTCGCGCTTTCCGAGGAGGTTGTCGATGCCGGAGTCCTTGTAGCACTGGTAGTGGTCGCTGTCGGCTTTGGGAGAGACGACGGCAATCTGGTCGCAGCACTTTTGAGCTTCCCTGTCGCAGTCGGAGCCGCCGGAGCTGCGGCAAGACTTGGTCTTTCTAGCGCAGTCCTCGCTGATGCTGCGCTTGCCGAGCTTGCTCCCGATGCCCGAGTCCTGGTAACATTGGTAGTGCTCGCTGTCCGAACTGGGAGACACGACTTGGATTTGGTCGCAGCACTTCTGGGCGTCTTGGTCGCAGCTGAGGCCGCCAGAGCTGCGGCAGGCGGTGGCCTTGTCGGCACAGCTGCCGCCGGGGACTGCAAAGCCGGTGGAAAGAAGGGCGGCAAAGGCGAAGATGGTGGCCGTGGAGAAGTGCATGGTGATTATTTAAGTTGGTGTAAAGACTGAAGGTGGATTGTTTGGCTGAGTGAAGGACTTTGGTCGTGGTGATAATTGAGAATACTGCTGGTGTATGCTAGATATATATATGCGAGTCTTGGATCCGGTGCTTCCGCTCCCTTTTTCCAGAAGCTGGTCTTTGCCTTGGACACAAACGCTCTGGCAAGTGCTCTGGTAGATGTTTGAGTCTTAACTTGTACAGATGTGGTAGGAATCGACAGACATCATGAACGGGAACCGTGCATGCCAAGCAAGTGGCAGTCGGATGCAAAGCAGAGTAGCTAAGTAAACGTAACCTATTAAACGCGATCGGCAACTTTTATCAGTATGTTTAGTCAATAATGCCGAAAAGGATATCTCTTTCGTTATACCATGTACCTCGGTGCATTTTGACGATTTCAGGACTACCTACCATGTTAATTGAGAGGCGTATATACATTGCAAAGCCTTTAAGAAGAGGGTAGGCAAGAAATTGGAGCCGGAGGAGCTATTACCAAAGAAAGGCTTGATTGCGCTATAAAGCAGAAGTCGGGCCAGCAACTGATCTGCGCTCTCGTTCAGTGGCTAATATAGCCGAACTCCTATCCCTTGAATTTCTTTGTTAGCCAACATATATGCTGACCGGTCCACGATAGAGCCAGCCAGTCATCCTTGCGCGCATGTGCTCAGCCCTGAACGATTGTATGAGTAAGAGCACAGACTTACTCAGTCGCGCGACTTCTTCAGCAGCAAAGTATCCGTTTTCTGATATCCTACCCAGTCATCGTTTTTCTTATGTTTGACCTTTATAAAGTCGTCACTATTGGCGTTGTTTGCAGGTGATGAACCACATGGACGGTTCGAAAGTTGCTTGGTGCTTGTGAGGATTGCACTACAAGTTTGCTTCCGGAACCGTTGTCCATGGACAGGTCGTTGGGGCTAGTATTTCTCCCTTTATGGAGCATAAGAAAGTCAGTAACGATATTCTTGATTTGCATCGTGCAAACGGTTGTGGTTGCGAATGATGGAGAGGAAGGGCCGGGACCGGGAGCGCCGGGTCGGTTTGTGGTGTGTCCACCCCGGAATTCGGACGCCGGACCAAGACAGCCCGATCGCGACGAAACGACCTTCTCCATCAGCAATCTAACCCACCCAACTTAACATGCAATCAGTATCGAAGCGCGACAAGAAGCGCGCCCAGGACCGCAATGCGCAGCGGGCGGCACGTCAACGCACCAGGAACAGGCTTGAACAGCTCGAGGAAACCATCGCGCGCATGCAGAGGGATGGCGACCGACACCTGGAGGCTGAAGTGGAGCGCATGCGCAAAGAACGGGACCACCTTGGGAAACTAGCTGATCAGATGGTTGCCATCGCAGGCGCAGTCAAGACGACGGTGAGCCACAATGAAACTGGGCTTATGGACCATCTTTTCGACAACTACGAGGCTCTTCGCTCCGATTCGGCGACGGCGACGGCGTCGGAGCTCGACGACACGCATGTTATACTTAATGGTATCCTGAACGGCTGGGACATGCCCGTTGCAAGCCACGAGGAGCCCATGCGCCGGTTAATGGCCCAGCTACACCGCCACTTCATGACCCAGCGCCCAATGGCCAGGCCCGTGGACCAGCTCGCCGTCTTGTGGCTGGTCCAATTGTCCGTGCTGGTAAAGCCTGTACATCTTCCTTATAGACATTCGTTAACTTATGCCCTCAGTTTCTTCTCGGCGACAGCCATTCGAGCCAGATACCGGGCTGGCTGCTGCCCGTGTGAGTACAGTTACAGCCCTTCCCAGGCCGTCGTAGCTGACCGTCTATGCAGTCCGACCCAAACGTGCATTCCGCATCTCGTCTCAGTAGACATGTTGCCATGGCACGGTCTTCCCTTAGTCCAAGCATTGGAAAAAACAAACTCCCGCTGACACATCCCAGGCCCAAGCTGCGCGCCTTCTTGCTATCGAAGCAAACGCACAACGATGCTGCGAGTCCCGAGTCTCAGCGCTGCGAGTCATTCGCCATCAAAACCCTGCGTCATCTCTACTTCCAACCTACAATCAACTTCGAAGAGGCCTACGTCGCTCATGCTGTAGCCTCGGAACCCGAGTGCTGCCAGCCGCGCAGGAGCCGTCTCGCGATAAGCCCTCGCTTTCGGCAGCTGTTCTTCCAGCCCGACTGCAGCCCCTTCGCCGTCGATCCGGCTCTACCCCACGAGTTCCCAGAGGTACGCGGCCTAGTGCCCGAGTACCAAATGCCAGCAACGGCGGAGACAAAGGTGCCTACAGTATCCGTACTGCGGCCCAGCCTCTTCTCACCGCTAGCTAGTGGCCCTGGTAACCACTCAGAACCGCTGATTTCTACGAGAACAACAACAAGATCTAATGCCGACGGCTCGCCATACCTTACGAACAACCATAGGCATGGATCCAATACCCCACCGCAGCTGACATACCCCGACCAAACTCATCAGCACCCGTCCGGCGCCGCCGCCGATGCTATTACGGCAGATCTCTTCGACGAGACCTTGGATTTACCGGCTTTAGATGCTGCGGGGTATTACACGCTCGCAGGACTCCCACATGCCACCACGCCGAGCCTTCAGAGCGGCGATCTTGGACTGGATTTGTTGAATGATGGTGGACCCCACTAACAACTTGTCTTTTCAATCATGTAACGGCAATAATAAGCAGCTCGGAGATGCAGTGCAGAATGTCTCCTAGGGGAGATGAAACATAATGCCAGCAATAGCAAGACTGTTGTAGTTTTTGACACATTGGACATTTCCGGGAAAAGTTACAAGACGGCCTCTCTTACTTCACATAAAACTCCAGATTCCTAATACGTCTTTGTCCCAAAAAGTGCCCAACTGGTCGTAGAGCCTCAGCAATAACTACTTTTTTAGAACCAAACTGAGCTATCTTTTCATTCACTTCTTCATACCAATAGGATTACGTTGACCTGATACTTCTCATTAGGAATGCATGGATAAAATAAAAGACAACTTATTTTCCAATTCTTTAACATGTTCCAGCTCTCAAACACGAGGACCTACTCCAAAAGGGTTTAAAACGCCGTCTCCACCTTCACAGGCGGCAACTCAATATCCCACGGACTATCCTCAGTCCGGATATACGGCGCGACATCTGCCGGCCTACCAAGCAGAAGCTCCTTCTCAATCACCGTAGTCCCATTACCCAGAAACGCCCACATATTGCCATGCTTAACTTTCTCTTTCCCCTCTCCCTCCGCTACCGACTCCTCCTCCTCCTCCCAGTACTTAATGAGATAGTCCTCCCAGCGCGGTCGCTTCAGGGACTTCAGCAAGTGCGGCATACTGCCGCACCAGACGTAGACGCGGCCGTCGTGTGTGTTGCGCTTGTACCATGAGCGGCACGGCTCGGCCCAGATGGACTTCTGGGCGTGCCACGCGTCGATCCACTCGTTAAGCTGGGTGGTCGGGTGCTGCCGCACTTCGAGCGAGTGTAGGCGCTCTGCTTGTATTTTTTGCACGCACTGCAACGCGTATTCGATCTGCGTTTCGTGCTGGTTTGCGAGGGTTAGAACGGTATGAGTAGGGGAATTTTATCCACAGTAGTTCTGTGATCTGTCTGCGTCTGGAAAGATTCGGAATTGCATGAAGAGAGGGAGAGAGAGGTGCCTTAGGCGAGCTGGTGTTCTTTGAAAGCTGGGATGGGAAGACTTACAGACGGTAGCGTGCTGCCTTGGTTCCAGTTGCCACGCGGGCCGTTAATGACAAAGTAGTTTGGAAAGTTGGGGCTCGTGATGCTGAGGTACAGGTTTGGAGTCTCTGACCATTCCTCTTGCATGACGGCGCCTCCTCTACCGACGACTTTGCTGAAATGAGGAAAAAACAGGGCGTCAGCAGGGAGTCCTGAAAAATAAAAGGCCCCGTATTGGGATATGTGCAGGGTTTGAGGTGATGTGGGACAGAGGAAGCTTACAAGTGCGGCACGAACTGGATATCGAAACCTGTGGCGCACGCGATGAGGTCAAACTCGTATTCGCGACCGGTCACAGTACGTAATCCGCGCTCAGTGAAGCCGGCCAGATTGTCGCGATCGAGCGAGACGTCTAGTAGCTTGTTTTTAGCAGGAACTCCGACTGAATGAGAAAACGGGCACATACGAGGCAGCTTAAAACATTGTATGAAATCGTCTGAAGGCTGGCGTCGGAAAAACAAGTCAGCACATTGCGACCTACCGTGCCCTCCTACCATGAACTTACCGTAATCCGGCGGCAACCTGGCGACCACTCGGGCAAGAAAGCTTTGCGGAGCTGTTCGTCGTCTCCAAGCTGCGCACCGACGACTTCGCGCATTTGCTGCCTGAACATGTTGTTGAGGGGGCTCCCGCGTATGAAGGCGGGGAACAGGACGGTGATGGAGCTCTCGAGCTTCTTGCGATACGCGAGGAGCTGGTTGGCATCTGCCCGGAATAGCGCCTTCTCCTCGTCGACGTAGCGGTGTTTGCCTGCTGCTGCTGGCGTCATGCCTGCTGGATGCGCCGGTTCGCCGTTCAATATGTTCGGTATGATCCATGTGGGATTGCGGGCAAAGCAGACGAGCGATTGTGATCCTGTCAAGCAAAGGTTAACACCTCATAATCTACTTCTTCTTTGAAAGCCGTCCTGGCTGGGTCACAAGTATGGGGAAGGTCGTGTCAGACCACTTGCCTTTGACGAGCTGCGGTAGGAGTTGCACGGCGCTAGCACCCGAACCTATCACGGCGACACGTTTATTCTCCCATGAGATACTTGTGTCCCAGTGAGCACTGTGGGTCAGAGTTCCCCTGTAACGGTCAATTCCGGGGATGTTGGGATCTATGAACAAGAACGGGAGTCAGCTTGCTAAACCGTCACTGCGAATTCGTCATTTCTTACACTTCCATCTGTTGACAACGCCGCTTCCGTTAATAAGGACGTGACACCAGTCAGTAAACTTCTTTCCGTCCCGAACGAGCTCGACCTCCCCTGCGATCGACGAAGCGTCAGCGTGATGCCTCTCACAGACTCAGTGTTACAGGGCAGGATATTTCAACGCACATTGCGCTTTGCGGTCATCCCAAGTTACGCTGAGAACAGTAGTATTGAAGCGCATGAATTCTTGAAGCTTGTACTTCTCGTAGAAACGGACGAAGTAGTCCTGAATCTCTTCGCTGTACGAGTAGTACGATGACCAATTGGGATTCGGCTCAAATGAGAAGTTGTAAATGTGGGACGGAACATCGCAGCTTTAGGTCAAGGGGCGGATTGTCAGCGGAAATCGCCTGTACCTCAAGCAATATAGGCAGCGTGAAAAGCTTACGCGCATCCCGGGTAACGGTTTTCTAACCATGTCCCTCCAATGTTGGAATTCCTGTTGCACATTTCGTCAGCGACGATAGGGGACCAATTGTGCTTATCTTAAGGGGGACAACTTCTCATAAACAACCAGCTCATAGTTTCGGAGCATTTTCTTAGCCTTATACGCCGTGCAGAGGCCGGCGGCGCCTGCACCAACATGGATAATTTTGACAAAATGCGGTTCCGAATGGTAGCGATCTGGAATCTGGATGCTTTTCACGGCCGATGACTGCAAGTCCGCCGGCTGCACAGCCTTAGGTGGTGGCAGAGGAGCAGATGAGGGCTTCACGGAAGCGCCCGCCCTGGGTTTGGTTGGTGGAGAGGCATTGCGGGGCCCTGGAGAGATGTTGCTGCCAGAAGAGGCAGTGCTTCGATCCGCCTTGAGTGCGGCGTCGTCTTTGACGCAGGATGAGAGAACATTGCCCATTTTGAAAAGATAGAAGAGGGTCAGTATTGTCGCGAAGACAATTACACTTCGAGCAAATGTTTTTGTCCCCGCAGAAGGGAGCAACCAAGCGTTCAATTATCACCACCCAGGTGATCTTCAGTGTCGGTGAATTTCTGTACTGGCCATATGGTCCGATCGGCACATTGCGTGGTATCGGCGTCAGCCTGTGCCGTACGTCGGTGGGTTCTCGCAGAGTGCATCGCATCCGCGCTGCGAGCATCGACAGTAACGAATAGAAAGCAGCGCGTAGCCAACATGCCAATTAGAGCGGGGATGATGATTTCTGCTTTGAGAGAGGCATTAGATAGCAACGTCCCAATTTACCGGCTGTCAATGTCCATAATCCCGTTTACCCGACCGGCCGGAAGTTCAGCTCTGAGACCTGACGTTCCACTGCATGTTGCTCCTCCACTAGCGCAGCCTTGAGCATTCTTGGCCTAACTGAGTTCATATCCATTCCACTTACCACTTCACGTGCCTCTGTCACTTTGTGGCGCAGCATCCCTGCTGAATTTCAACCTTGCTGCATTTCAACGGAACGTCCTTTCGTTGCGTTGGGGTTGGGGCATAGATGGCGCCATCGATTATCTAGAGCAATTTCTATTTCGAGTAAGACGTGAGACATGTTGCCCGTTTTGCGCTAGTTCTCACTCAGCCAATATAACATTCTCTAATATGACAGAAAGTCTAGATCATCCAAGGCATTGTTTAAGGGAAGAAAGAAAGCAGCGCCTCCGAAGGCTTATTGGCTGGGCTACTAGTCGCCAATTAAGGCTGAGTTCTAACTCACAAACAAGTTGGGGTTACCACGTGGGGGGTACTTGCCACTGATCTGCTAGATAGAGGGCATGCAAAAGTTGAGACGCCCAAACACCTGATGCAACGTCCAAAGTGACAAAAACAAATGAATGCCGATGTAATCGGGATAAGACGCATCGCTACATAGGTATTTGAGTGCAAAAGTCGGTGAATATTTAAAAAAAACAAAAACGGATTTCAGCAAGTTCAAATGAAACTTGACCGTTTAGTATGCCGTTTGATCAATTTCATGTGGGTACGTAATCTGTTGTGACGGCTTTGCATCGAGTTTACAACCGCTTCGGCGACCTCGCTGCAGCGATTAGGCCGTGTGCCATTGCCAATACGGCAGGCACCTCTTGCAGATGCGTTATCCAGGGAAGGTTCTAAAACAGGAGATGGAGGCGCTGAGTTTGATGTCGATGATGACGAAGACGACGCGGAAGATGAAGATGGAAGAGGATTACCCGTCGCAGCTATGCGACCGTCAGTGCAGTAGCCGAGCAGACTCAGAGCTCTGTCGAGGCGGCTGAGTAAATGGCTAATGAGTTCAATGATGAGGACGGCCTGGGTTGGGGGACAAGTCATCGACGTGGAGGCTTCAGACGTTGATGTGAAATGGCCGGCGTTAACCTGGGTCTGGTTCAAGTTCATAAACGGGAGTGGATGGACAGCACACAGTTGTTGGTTGAGGGAGTTGCACATGTTCTCAAAAGCGCCTAGAAGACGCTGGTGGCATGCCAGAACCATTAAGACGACGCCAGTGTCTGGAGGGCTGGGTGCTGGAGCCTGGACCGACACACCCGCTGAGAAGAGATCCAGTCGGGGCAGCTGGTTGAAGTAGTCCGTAGGAGCGTTGCCAACGGTGGATCCGGCAGCAGACATACGGCCAAGCAGGTGGATCAGGGAGCGAGTGGCGTCGAAGATGTCATTGACGGCGGGGGACGACACGGAGAGAGGCTCTATGGTAGAGGGAGAGATGGTACGGGCGGATTGATAGAGGCGCAGGTTCAAATCAGACAGCTCGCTGATATAGGACTCGACAGAATCGATGCCAAGGTTCAGTGTTTCGGCAGGGTGGGTGGTGAGGCCGGGAGGGTCGAAGGGTGATAGGTTTGGCAGGGAAGCGAGGTCGCCAAACCAATCCTCGGCGAAGACATCGATGTTTACGGAAGACAGAGCGGCCGGCGACGGTTGAGCGGCAGCAGCAGTGACGGGAGCGGGTGGCGGTGGCGGTGTTGAAGAGCGGGTGGAGAGTGTCGAAGAGGTAGTGGTAGAGGTAGTCGTCGTAGAGGCAGTCGTCGTAGAGGCAGTCGTAGAGACGCGCGGGCGCTTGCGTGAGTCGGCGGAGGGTGGTCGACCGACACGCTGCTGGAGGCTGTAGACGCAACAGGCACCGGCCTTGTCGCACCGTACGCAAGGCGATGAATCTGGGCCAGGCTGTCGGATGCAGCGCACCTTGAGCAAGTGACAGCGGTCGCACGATTGGCGGCGGGGTTGGTCTGCTGTGGGCGACATGTTTGCTGGGTTGTACGTCGATAGCTGCAGAAAACAAGCCTCTCTTATATCAAGCTCTTCACTGGGGTGGTAAGCAGAAGGAATTCGGGCCTGTCAGTTGTTCAGCGAATATCAATCAAAGCTTGTCGTGCCCGTCCTGCACGTCAGCCGCGCCGCATCGGACCGCGCTGCACAAGGAAAACAGCGCCGAGGACAGAGCTGAGGCCGTGTGGGGGATTGCCGGCTGTGCAGCGGGATGTTGGTGTTGGTGTCCACTGTTAACCGCGCCGCAGCTGGCATCCTGGCACGTGATCCTGCGCGTCGAGTCAGCATGGGCCCGTGCGCCTGACTCAGGCCGTGCCCTCCTGCCGCTTTGGGAAGGCGTGTGGTGACTACTTCTTGGTTGTGTCTCTCCTTCTCTCTCTCCCCCCATTCCCCATTCCCAACTCAAAATGGCTGTCGGTCATGGCTGGCGCTTCTGGGTATGTCCAACCTAGCGTGCCTTCCTCTCTGCTTTTGCCCGCTGCTAATTCGCTCTAGGCCATTTTCGCTGCCCTGTCCGTCACTTCAATTCTCTCAGCTCTCGATGCATCCGTTATTTCCACGGCCATGCCTACGATTGTAAACGATCTGGGCTCCGGGCCGTCGTATGTGTGGATTGCCAACGCCTACTTCCTTACCATGACGGCCTTTCAGCCTCTGTATGGCCAGACGGCCAACATTTTCGGTCGCCGCAGCCTGATTGTCCTCTCCGTCGTCTTATTCGCTGTCGGTTCCGCTGTATCGGGTGCTGCAAAGACCACTGCAACCCTTATCGCAGGCCGGGCCATCCAGGGCGTTGGTGGCGGCGGTATAAACGTCCTTGTAGACATCATCGTCTGCGACTTGGTCCCGTTGCGCGAGCGTGCTCAATATATGGGTCTTATCTTCTCCATATTTGCCGTCGCACTGTCCTTGGGCCCCGTCATTGGCGGCCTCATGACCCAGCGTGTCACCTGGCGTTGGATATTCTACATGAACCTACCCATCTGCGGCGCCGCCCTTGCTCTTCTTCTACTATCCCTCAAAGTCCAGTACAAGAAGGATTCGGCTAAGAACATGCTAAAGCGCGTCGACCTGGCTGGAAATGCGCTCCTCATCGCCTCTGTTCTCGCCATCCTACTCGCCTTGACTTGGGGTGGCACCGAACATCCTTGGGGCTCGTGGAGGACCATCCTGCCGCTCGTCCTAGGCATTCTCGGCCTAATCGGTTTCCTCGGCCTCGAGTCCTGGAGCGGCCTTCCTGAGCCAACTATGCCCATTCGCATCTTTTCCAACCGCACATCCCTCGCTACATTTGGCTTAACCTTCGTTCACGCCATCCTCAACTATTGGATCACTTACTGGCTGCCCGTCTACTTCCAGTCTGTGCTAGAGGCTTCTCCCACAGCCTCGGGCGTTGATCTTCTACCCAGCGCAGTAGCGGCCATTCCCTTCGCCATCATTGCTGGCGGCGGCTTGACCAAGCTCGGCCGCTATCGCCCTTTTCATTTCATTGGCGCCATCCTTCTGACCATAACCTTCGGTCTCTTCACTCTTCTCGACGCCCAAACCTCTACTGGGTACTGGGTCGGCATCCAGATCATCGGTGCTGCCGGGAGCGGTGTGCTGCTAACGACGACGTTGCCGGCCATTCAAGCTCCACTACCCGAGGCGGACGTGGCTGTTGCTACTGGCACTTGGGCATTCCTTCGCAGCTTCGGTGGCATTTGGGGCGTCGCTATTCCCACTGCCATCTTCAATTCACAGGTCAACAAGCTCCTCGGCCGTATTGACAGTGCAGATCTACGCTCCACGTTGGCCAACGGGGGAGCTTACGCCATGGCATCAAAGGACTTCATGCTGTCATTGAACCCAACCCCAGTCATCAAGTCTCAGGTGTTGGGCGTGTACATTGACAGTCTCAAGCTAGTCTGGCAGGTCGGAATTGCTTTCGGTCTACTTTGTTTCATCATCGCTCTCGTGGTCAAAGAGGTCCCGATGCGTGAGCAGCTCGAGACCGAATTTGGTCTCGCTGATGATGAGAAACAACAAGACGTCGAAAAGCCCCAAAGCACCGATACCAACACTGATTGAAAGAGATGGGACGATTGGTCTATTGCAGATGTAGATTATACTAAAGTCATTTCAACTTCCTGTTTTTACACTTTTAGGTTTCACATAATCTCATTCACGGATTGCTTAGAGTTTGAGTTAATACAAGACTGTGGATATATCTATGCCACTACTTGCGTGTGCCGAAGGTTTTAGTTGACATCTTCCCGCTAAGCACCACACCAGCTAAATATAGAAACACAATCCTCAGGTAGGCACAGCTTTCTTGACCCTATACTGCACAAGGACCAACGATCGAAATCCCAATCCCCCTCGTTAGGATTCCGATAACAAAAATCCCACAAAAAAGCATACCCAAGCCGGCAAGTCTGCCAAAACGCCCCTCCAAGTATTCAACTGGATCCACGCCGCTAGGACTGCGACACTGTCCCGACCATCGACAAGGTGATTATTCTCGCGAGAATCGCCTTCCTCCTCCGGGGTGACGGTCTCGGCAACCACCCGCTTTGCAGCTCCATCAACCAAGAGATCACTGTTGTTCTTGGACCTGATAGCGTCCAGCAAGCCCTTAGCTCTAAGGCCCCAGAGCATGTGGGCGGCGCTCAGGGCCAGTCCGGCGAGGTAGAGGGCACCGGAGGGAGTGGAGACGCTGAGGCCAGCTTTGCGGCTGGAGGCAGTGGTAGCGAGGTTGGCAATGGCGGTGGCCCAGGTGAGGGGGTAGAGGGTTAGGATGACGGAGAAGGCGGGGCGGAACCAGCGGTCGATGTAGATGGGGAGGAGGACGTTGGGGTCGGGTCCGCGGCTGGTGCCGCCGGCTTGGTGGTCGGGATTGCTGTTGGGCGCTGTGGTTGCGGGGCGGAGCGAGAGGTAAGGGGCGAGGTAGAGGTGCTCGCAGAAGGTGAAGGTGAGAGAGGCGGTACTTGTGAGGAGGGGAGACAGGCGCAGGAGGAGGTGAGAGGGTGGTGTTGACATTGCGATTTTTGGGGATGGAATCAAAGACAGGACGTTGAAGGGTGATTGGCAGGTGGACATGGCAGGCTTCGTTTAGTTTGGTTGATGCTCCTTCTTAGTTGGCCTATCGGCCAGTTCGGTTCTTCGAGGCATGTAGGCACTTGTTGCTGGAGTTGCAGACATAACTATCCGACGCGGATGGTAAGAAGTAAGATCGGTTGGTTTCTCAAATGCGCCGATGATCGACAGAGCCGTCCACCGTCCACACTCACTCCACTCCACTTGACACAAAACTGCCTGCCGTTGTCCATTCACCTTGCAGTAACAAGCAAACCAACAGCAACCGCGCCACGTCTCCACTCATTCAGGCCTCGAGCGGGGTGGTGTTGACAATCTGACCATCCTCAATATACACCGTCTCAAAGCCGGCCATGGTGACGACATTGACAGTGTCGGCCCATTCCGTCTCGCGGGCGTTGACCTGCTCGGCCCACTCGGGGTCGGCGAGCAGGCCGCGCATGTCGTCGGCGCTGCGCACCCAGTAGGAGATGATGGCATCGTAATCGGCCAGTTTCCAACCAGGCTTGTGCGCCAGGTCGGCCTGGAACATTTCGCGCGCCGCCGATGGCGTGAGGTACTGGTTCGTGAACGTGGCGGTTTAACTGCTTGTGTCTTTCCTTGGACTAGGTAGCCAACTCACCTGCGCGTACCGCACCACGTTGTGCTTCTGCAGGATTCGCACGGCGCGCCGGATGTGGTCTTCTTGAATCCATCGTGTGAAGGCCTCCTCCGACACGCCTTCCTTGCGGTAGTGCTGAACAGAGAGCTTCAGAAGCGGCCCCTGCTGCTCTTGCTGGTGCTGCTGTTCCTTCGCTTCAGCCATGGTTGTTATTTCTGTGTTTGGCTTTGTAGGTCCCTTGCTGACGGTTGGCGGAATTCAGCATCATGTGTGCGCTTTTATCCGCGCCCTCGGCGGGTTTGGTTTCGGCCAAATGGTGAAGAAAGCGAAAACCCACCGACCACAGGCAACACCTGGCTTGGGATGATTACTAGACGAAATATCCAAAAGCTGCATCGAGGGGGGGTGTTGAGCAGCACAAAGCATATTCTCCCTTCATCCAAAGGAGAGCACACTATTCACCTCATCATTATGCCGCATATCAACAAGCCGCGAATCCTATGCCTCCACGGCGAAGGCTGCTCGGCCGCCATCTTCCGCGCGCAGTCGCGCCAGCTCACGATGGCCCTCGCGCGCGAATTCGACTTTGTCTTTGTCGACGCCCCGTTCCCCAGCACTGCAGGGCCGGGTGTGTTGCCCGTCTACGAGGGTCCGTACTACGCGTGGCTCAACCGGCCTCCGCAGCCGACCGACATGGCCGTTGTGCGCGCTCGCATCGCCGACATGGTGGCTCTCGAAGGGCCCTTTGCGGGCGTGATGGCTTTTTCCCAGGGTGGCCGTCTGGCAACGTCGCTGCTGCTGCAGGAGTGCAGGGGAATGCAGCGGCGGCGGGGGAGGGACACAGATCAGGTCCCTTTGGTTTTTGGAGTCTTGCTCTCAAGCACCTATCCTCCCCTTGGATATGGCGATGAAGCGGCGGAGGAGCAGCAGCGGATTGATGAAGACTTGGACGAAGACGTCGACGAGAACGGCACGCACTTGATGCCCAAGTCTTTCGGACCACCGTCATCGCTCGTCACAGTACCGAGTGTTCATGTCCATGGCAGGCGTGATCCGTGGCGGCCGGCGAACAAGCAAATTCTGACGCGCTGCTACGATGCGCGCACGGCGACACTGGTTGAGTTTGTTGGCGGCCATCATTGCCCGCGCGCTGCAGCTGACGTCGAGGCCGTTGCTGTCGCCATAAGACACGCGTTTGCAGCCGGTTGCAAGCTGTTGGCGTCGCCAGAGAAGATGCTGGGAATAGAGGAGATGGTTGCTATGCTTTGATAAATTTGGAGAACAAGTACAAATAGGTAGAACGTGTTGTGTACTCTAGATACATAGAATGACTTCATGGATTGGTCTGATTGGTGGAAAGTTACTTGGCCGAATTTAACCGATTCACACTCAAAACCAACGACAGCATCGAGTCCACCTCATCTACATAGTTTCTCGCTTACAAGCCCCCTCCCCCCTCCCTCTTCAGTTGTCCACGTCGTTCCTCTCGATGCCAAACACCTGATCCAGCCATGCAAAAGCCTTGAAGTGAAGGTGCGCGGTTGCGGCAACCTTGGCCTGCAGAGAGCCTTGGCCGACGCCAGTCGGAATCCACAGCGACTTCTCGTCGCCTTCCTTCAACTGCGTCAGACCGTCATAGATGCGACACGCGCTAGTCTCAGGCCGGAAGTAGAGAGTCTCGCGCGAGCCGGTGACCAGGACGGGGCAGCGGATGCGACTGACAATGGTTTCGGCGTCGCCGGCCGGCCGCAGCGTGTAGCGGTTGAACTCACGCAACACGGCAGCGGGCGAATCGACGCCAAATGCGAGCATGGCGTGGCCGAACTCCCAGCGGGTCTGGAAATTAAGACTTGCCATGATGGAAAAGAGGCCGTTGAAGACAGCATCGGGCACATAACCGCGTTCCATCGCAGTCAAAACCGGCGACGGGATACGCTCGCGCACGGCAGCACCTAGATCATAAAAGCCGTCGATGGCGACGCAGGCTTTGACACGAGAGTCCGTGGCGCCACGTAGGGCGAAGTAGCCACCCATGGATGCACCGAGCACGGCTATACGCGCTAGGTCGAGACGCCACTGCGGATGTGCTTGTGCTGCATGGAACAGCTCATCGAGAACGGCGGCGATGACGACTTCCCAATCTGGCCGCAACGACAGCTTGTTGCGCCGCAGCATCAAGCCTTGGCCGGGTCCCTCGAACGACAAGGTGGCGTAGCCGCGAGTACGCGCACCCGAAGCAGTATAATAGTAGAGCTCTTCCTGGATCGAGTCGAAGCCGCCGGTGTTGACGATAACTGGAGCCCTATCGCCGGTAAAGGAAGTAGGAAGGTACAGGTAAGCGGGCAGCATGGTGCCATGGCCGTATGGGATCTCGAGCTCTATGACGGGACTGTCAAACAGGCGACAGGCTTGCTTGAAGTTGGCGGTGGCCTGCTCGACGGAACGCAAGAGGCGCGGGTCGTGGGGTAAGTGGTGCAGCAGGAACTCGCTGGAGCGGCGGTAGTTGGAAGCGCGCAAGAAAGCCCATCGCGCCGCCTCGACGTCGCCCGTCCGTCGCGCCTCGACGGCTTGGGCCTCGGCCTTCTCGGCGGCGCCCGTCCAGGCTTTGTACCAGCTTTCGGGGTCGTTGTTGCGGATGTGCTCGCCGGCTTCCAAGCACTCGCCCACATCGCTGCCGTGGAAGGGCGCAGTGCCGAGGATACGCAGAAACTCAAAGTCGAAGAAGTCTGAGGACAGGATGTGCAGCATGATGAAGTTGTTGTTGCTCTGACACCTGTCCGGCAGGAGCTACCTAGTATGTATGTATGTACAGAAGCGTCGGCGTCGGAGGGTTTCATCAAACAAGCCGAGTGAGAAGTATCATCACATGACCTCGTGATAGCTATGGCAGTAACCGAACATTTCCCGCGGGCTGCGACTACGTACGCGACACGCAACAGCTCAAGCTATTGGATACACAAGCTTCCTCCCTCTGACCTTTCCCCACCGCAGCTCCTCAATGCCGTCCAACACGCCATCCAATCCACCGACTCGCACTTCGGCGGCGTGTGGAGCCAGCCGGCCCTCCTCCAGCAGCCGCTCGGCGAGCGGAAACATGCGAGCTGCAAATTCGCGATCCAGCCGACGAGCTGCCCTGCCATATACGCCAGCCAGCTCGACCCGCTTCCCGAACAGCGAGTATATCATGAGCCAGTCGGCATGTACGTCTCGCCGCGTGTATTGGACGTGCGTCGCAAACGGATCCAGCGCCACGTACTTGCCGCCCGCCGACCCAATGGCTTCATAGCACATCTTCATTGTTGCCGCCTCGGTGACACAGTCAAACACATGCGCCAGTTGGTCGTTGGTGTATGCGCGTATCTCCGTACCGCAGGTTGGCGAGTGGTAATCGAAAGTCTCGGCTGCTCCCAGCCGCTTCAACATGTCGAAGTGGGTCGGCGAGCAAGTAACAATGGGAATGAGTCCGGATCTGCCATGTTGTCAGCAAAAGTCACGCAGTGTCACTTGAAACTTACGCTCTCAACAGCTGGACAGCGATGGTTCCGGTCGCCGTCGCCCCTCCCGATACCAGTACTGTAATAGGCTTCTTCGCAGGGGCTTCTGGCATTGGAAGTCCCAGGCTCTGGTAGAGAGCGCTGCCTGCCGTCCCGATGGCCAATCCCAGGGTCGAGGCCTCTTCGAAAGTCATCCCGTCCGGGATCTTGCATGCCAAATCCTCTGTGGCCGCCGCGAAGGTACCGAACGCCCCTGTCGTTTTGTCGGATGGGTTGAGCCCGAACATCATTGCGCAGACACGATCGCCCGGCTTGAGTCTTGTCACCTGGCTTCCAGTCTCAACAACTTCACCGGCAAAGTCATTGCCGCCCACTGCACCTGGCGTTGCGGAAAAGTCGACCATCTTCCAGTCTGCTGGGTTGAGCGCCACCGCTCTGACCTTGCAGAGGACCATATCTGGCTTTACCAGTGGCATGGCTGCGTCGTTCACCAACTTGTACCGTGCAGCCCCCTCGGCCACCAAAGCCGTGCGGGTACCAGTCTGCATCATTGTTAGAATCAACTGGTGCTAGGGAGGAAAGATAGAGAAGGGAAAGAACAAAGCTGGTGCAGAGCTAGCGGTCGCTGTTACTACGAAGCAATCTCTGTAACCGTTTCGCCGTGGATTATATTCTCCGGCAACTGCTTCGACTACCGTCCTCCGAAAGTCGTCGGATAGTTTTGGCCGGACCATAGATGCTGCATAAAGCGCCGATGCACGGTAGGTCAGATACGCAACAGTGGAAAAACATCGGTCTAGGCCCGGCTTACCGACAAGACCGATCGGATGGCGGCGAGGGCGGCCTTTGACCGATGCGAACAATATTTTGTATATCAGGAATCCTCTCGGTGTATCCTCTCCAACGCAAGCAATGGACTGAGATCTTTCAAGAAACTCCAACCACAAATTTTCTTTTCTTCACAGAGATGACTTCTTTCCCCAAATACACCTCTGAACCAATCGCCATCGTAGGCAGCAGCTGCAGGTTTCCAGGCGGCGCCAGCTCCCCTTCAAAGCTATGGAAGCTGCTGGAAGAGCCGTACGACGTTCTTAACACCATCCCGTCCGAACGCTTCAATCCGGACGGTTTCTACCACACCAACGGAGAATACCACGGAAGCAGCAACGTCAGACAGTCGTACCTGCTGGAGGAGGATATCCGCGTTTTCGACCATGCTTTCTTCAGTATAAACCCAAAGGAAGCTGAGGCCATGGATCCACAACAACGACTGCTCCTGGAGACTGTATACGAGGGGATTGAGTCTGCTGGTTACTCAATTCAAGAGCTCCAGGGATCCCAGACTGCAGTATACGTTGGCCAAATGACTGGCGACTACTATGACGTCCTCCTACGCGATATAGATAGTGCGCCTCAATACCTCGCCACTGGAACTGCTCGGAGCATCATGTCTAATCGGGTGTCGTATTTTTTCGACTGGAAAGGTCCCTCTGTCACTATTGACACAGCATGCTCATCCAGTCTCGTCGCGTTGCACCAAGCTGTACAGGCGCTCCGACATGGCGAATGCGGGCCATCTGGCACGGCGGTAGCGGCTGGAGTCAACCTGATCCTTGGCCCGGAGTTATACATTTTCGAGTCGAAGCTGCATATGCTCTCGCCCACAGGCCGATCGCGTATGTGGGACGCTGGAGCGGACGGCTATGCCCGCGGCGAGGGGTTTGCCTGCGTCGTCCTGAAGACCTTGAAACAGGCCATCGCCGATAATGACAGCATTGAATGCGTCATTCGCGAGACCGGTGTTAACCAGGATGGCCGCACCACTGGTATTACTATGCCAAGCGTAGCCTCACAGGCTTCGCTCATCAAGGCTACATACGCTAGAGCCGGGCTGGACTGCCTCAAAAAAGAGGATCGATGTCAATACTTCGAAGCCCATGGAACAGGCACCCTGGCGGGCGACCCGGTTGAGGCCGAAGCTGTTCGTAATGTCTTCTTCCCTCAGAATAAGGTCGCACATCACAACAGCGATGATCAACTGTTTGTCGGCTCGGTCAAGACTGTCATCGGGCACTTAGAGGGCACTGCAGGACTGGCAGGAGTTTTGAAAGCTTCATTAGCTCTACAAAACAGCATGATCCCCCCTAACATGCACTTCAACCGGCTCAACCCGGCAATTGAACCTTTGTACACCCACCTCAGGGTACCGACCGAATTGCAGAAATGGCCAGACTTGCCCAAAGGGACTCCGAGACGCGCCAGCGTCAACAGTTTCGGATTTGGCGGTACCAACGCCCACGCTATCCTCGAGAGCTGGGAGCCACAGCCAAATCCAGGAGAAGACTGGGTGGATGAATGTCAACATAGCGAAAGAAGTGCTCCTTGTGGGCCCATAACGCTATCTGCCAACTCCGAAACAGCTCTTATATCCGCGGTAGCCTCGCTCTCTGATAAGCTCAAGATGAACGAGGAAATGAATCTAAGCGACTTAGCTTGGACACTCCAAACTCGCCGGACGCAGTTTCAGATTCGGGTGAGCTTCTCTGCATGCGATCGCTACCAGCTCATGACGAAACTGGATGCAGCTGTTGAAAAAGCCGTAACAAACGGTACAAACTTGGGCACCCGCGCAATCCAAACGACTGAACAGTTTCCGCCGCGCATTTTGGCAGTTTTCACCGGACAAGGCGCCCAGTGGCCAGCCATGGGTGCGGAGCTGCACGCCAAATCCATTTTGTTCAGGAGGACGATCTGCGATCTCGAAGCGTCGCTGAGAAGTCTGCCAGATGCCCCGACATGGTCTTTGGAGGCAGAACTATTGGCACCCCCAGACAAAACCCGCATCCATGATGCCGCCATCTCACAGCCGATGTGCACTGCTCTCCAGGTTGCCCTTGTCAATCTCATTCAGGCTGCTGGTGTTACGTTTAGTGCTGTCGTAGGGCACTCATCTGGCGAGATTGCGGCAGCCTATGCAGCGGGCTATATAAATGCGTCCGATGCCGTCCGCATCGCTTACTACCGCGGACTGCATGCACACCTCGCTCAGGGTCCACAGGGACAGAATGGAAAGATGGTTGCGGTTGGAATGAGCATTGAAGAAGCAACATCTTTCTGCCAGCGGGACCAGTTCCTTGGTAGACTGTCCGTGGCTGCAAGCAATGCCAATTCCAGTGCAACTCTTTCTGGTGACAGCGATGCTGTCGATGAAGCCAAAGAGTTGCTCGACGAGGAAAAGACGTTTGCCCGTGTGCTCAAAGTCGACACAGCGTATCATTCGCACCACATGCAGCCGTGTGTGGGGCCATACATGAGCTCACTCCGCCAATGTGGTATCCAGGTACAGCCTGGACCTTACCGGTGCAAGTGGTACTCGAGCGTTTATGGCCGAACCACCGATGATCCCGACTCGTTTAGGGACAAGTACTGGATCGAAAATATGGCACAACCGGTTCTCTTCTCGCAAGCTATATACAGAGCAGTGACAGAAGATGACTGCCACGATATTGCCCTCGAAATTGGGCCGCATCCCGCCTTGAAAGGACCGGCAACGGAGAGCCTCAAAACCTTGACAGGGGTGGACATTCCATACGAAGGCGTTATGAAGCGCGGCGAGCCTGATTTCAGTGCTTTCTCAGACGGACTTGGCTTCGTCTGGAGGAACTTCCTCTCACCACACCCGGTTATCGATTTTGCCGAGTTCCGGAAATCTTGTCTTGGAGAAAGCTACGGGAACGGATCCGTGCTCAAAGACCTACCACCCTACAGCTGGGATCATGATAAGGAGCTATGGAAGGAATCACGCCTATCCAGAATTTTCCGCATGCGTCAACGTCCGGTTCACGAGCTTCTTGGGACGGCGACATCGAACGGAAACAACCGGGAGATGCGCTGGCGCAATGTCATGAAAATTAACGAAATGGAATGGCTCCGCGGCCATCAGTTCCAAGGCCAAGTGCTCTTTCCTGCCGCTGGCTATGTTTCGATGGCTTTTGAGGCATCGATGTTTTTGGCAGCAGACCAGTCTGTCAAGCTTGTCGAACTTCAGGACCTCGTCATTCACCACGCGATCACGATTGACGAAGACTCTGCCGGCGCCGAGGTAACATTTGTCATCCGTGTTACGGACCAGACATCCAGTCAGATCTTGGCCGAATACGCGTGCTACAGTGGCGGGGTTGACAGTAAATCTCAGGACTTCGAGAATATGAACTTCACTGGCCGCGTCGTAATCACAATGGGGGAACCTGCTGAGGAAACGTTGCCGGAAAGGCCAACAGAGACATTGCCTATGACGCCTATCGACCTTACGAGGCTCTACGAGTCGCTTACTGGCATTGGATTACAATACTCAGGCGCATTCGTAGCGAATACTATTGAGAGGAGACTGGGCGCAGCCACTGTCGGCTTGAAACCCTCGCCGCCCTCAACTCTAGGGATCCATCCGGCGACGCTCGACACAACATTCCATGGTCTTTTTGCGGCTTTTTCCGCGCCGGGCGATGGCAGGCTCTGGACACATTACCTTCCTACCAGTATTCGCCGTGTACGCATCAACACAGCCTACACCAACGAGCACGTCGACCTGGTAGCTGATTGCCATCTACGGGAAGCGTCGGCTAAGACAATCTCCGGGGACTTAGGCATTTTCAACGCAGCGAACGGCCATGGAGCGATCCAGGTGCATGAAATTGTTTGTTCCTCCTTCACCGTGCCAAGCAAGCAAGACGATCGGAAGCTCTTCGCACACAATGTGTGGAAGCAAGACCTCTCAGATGGTTTTGAATCACGCTCCGATACTGCAGGTCATGACACGTCCGCTGACCTTGAGCTAATCGACATATGCGAGCGCGCCTCTTACTTTTACCTCCGTCGTCTGCGGGAAGAGGTTCGACTGGAGGAGGTGGAAACGATGGCATGGCACTTCAAGTGCCTAATGGACTGGGCATTTAAGCATCTACTCCCGAAAGTAGAAACCGGCCGCCATCCACGTGTGAAACCAGAGTGGGCGAGTGATACGAGAGACATGGTGCTCGCCTGGAAAAAGCAGTACCCCGGCCAGATCGACCTCGAGATTGTCGTTGCCGTCGGAGAGGTCTTGCCTGCTGTAGTCCGAGGGAAACTGCCTATTTTGCAGGTCATGATGGAGAACGACATGCTCAATCGACTGTACAAGTATGGCCAGGGATTTAACTACGCCAATGTCCACCTCGAAACAGCCGCAGCCCAGCTCTCGCACCGCTACCCCCGTATGAACGTCCTTGAGATTGGGGCTGGGACAGGAGGCGCTACTGTCAACGTCCTAAAGGGTCTCGCCGGCCAATTTCTCTCATATACGTACACAGACATCTCGCCCGGATTCTTTGAGAAGGCTCAACTTCTTTTCGAGGAGCATTCTGAAAAGATAAAATACAAAACGCTCGACATCGAGCGTGACCCTCTCGAGCAAGGCTACAAGGAGCATTTCTTCGACGTCATTGTTGCGTCCAACGTACTTCATGCAACAAAAGTTTTGTCTAACACTCTGGCAAATTGCAGAAAGCTGCTCAAACCCGGCGGGTACCTGATGTTGCTGGAAATTACCAGCGACACGCTGCTTCCCCAGTTTATCATGTCTGGTTTGCCGGGTTGGTGGCTTGGCCGCGACGATGGCCGCAAGTACCATCCCACCATCAGCGAAGCCCAGTGGAATTCTGTGCTGCTCAATACCGGGTTTTCCGGCGTGGACACGGTCCGCAGGGATCTAGATGAGCCAGACAAGTACCTTTGCTCTGTCATGTTAAGCCAGGCGGTGGATGACAGAGTGACCACGCTGCGAAATCCGCTATCTTGTGTCGACAAGGTACCGCACATCTCACATCTCCTGATCGTTGGTGGCACTACCCTGGCCGTGGCAAAAGCCGTACAAAGCATCCGGGGCTTGCTTCATACATTTACAGCGACAGTAACGCTTGTGAACAGCCTGGAAGACGTCACCGCCGATCTCATCATCCCCGGCTCCGCCGTCATCTGTCTTTCCGACCTAGAAGAGCCTACTTTCAAAGACCTCACCCATAACCGTTTTGCTGGCATGCAGATGCTGTTTCACCATGCCAAGTACATCCTCTGGGTTACCAAAGGCTGCAGGGCTGACAGCCCCTACTCCAATATGATTGTGGGTGTGGGCCGTTCCGTGCTCTTGGAGTCCCCGCATATCCGCCTTCAGTTCCTAGATATCGACTCTCTTCAAAAGCCCTCTTTCGAGCCAGCCATATTCGCGCAGGCTCTGCTCCGGATGGTGTGTTTGGATCTCCCAGATTTCGACAACATTCTTTGGAGTGATGAGCACGAACTAGTGATTGAAAACGGTTTTACATTCGTTCCTCGCATCCTGCCAAGTCAAGAACCCAACGACCGCCTCAATTCGGAACGATGTCTTAGAACGAGACCTGTGGATCTAAAGGACACCAATGCCGAGCTTGCTGATGAGGGTCCGTTCTGGATACTGCGAGAAGAAAATAGGCAAGGGGACCCCTCCGACATCCAAGTTCAGGTCCATTTTTCTTCTCTATTTCCCTTCAAGCCTTCCAACGGCCAGTCTGTCTTCCTCTCCGTTGGTAGTATTGTCGGATCTGGTCGAAAGGCCCTCGCCTTGTCTCCCACAAGCAGTTCTCTCCTGAGCGTACCTGAAGAGCACGTATATGTCTGCTCAGAAGGATTTGACGAAGAAAAAGGGTTAAGCGACGTTCTGGGAATCCTTCTCGCGGAAAGTCTGGTGACAGCCGTACGAGGGCGGCTTTGGGTGCACGAGGCAGACGAACGACTGGCTCAACTGATCTCACAAGCTGCCAAGGATAACGATGTTGGAGTATTTCTGAGCACTTCAACCGCAAAGTCCGACCCCAAAAGATTCTACATCCATCCCTGCATTATGGGGCGCGATCTCGAATCCGTTCTGCCGGCAGGCATCCAGACATTTGTGAACTTGGATGTCCACAGCATCGATAACCTCCCCTCGAGCCACTTACTCGAGCCTACGAAGATTTTTACTACAAGGAACGGTGATATCAAAACCTTTGTCACTCTCCAATTTAGCAAGCAACGAATGCACGAGCTCCTGCAGAAGCACCGGTTGATATCTGAAAACCCAGCACACTCGCCTGGAGCCGGCACAATCAGTGTCACCGAAGTTTTCAAGCTTAAAAAGGAGCAACAACTGCCCACCAGTGTGGTTGATTGGGCAACTACTTCAGAGGTCATGTTGCCAATAAGTCCAATCAACGCCAACAGCCTGTTTTCCGGCGATAAAACTTATTTCTTAGTTGGCTTGACTGGAGAGGTCGGGCAATCGCTATGCAACTGGATGGCAGACCATGGTGCACGACATCTCGTCATCACAAGCCGAAATCCGAAAGTGGACGGAACGTTCCTTCGGCTTATGCAGCGGAAATGCGTCAACCTGAAGATCTTCTCACTCGACATTGCTGACAAAAAGGCATTAGTCGAGATCTACAAAAGAATCTGCGCGACCATGCCACCTATCGCTGGTGTTGCTAATGCGGCAATGGTCCTTCGCGATAGATCTTTTGACAACCTTACGCTGGAGGACTTCAACGTTGTCCTTAAGCCCAAGGTTGACGGGAGCAAGAACCTTGATGAAATATTTCACTCGTCTAAGCTTGATTTCTTTGTCCTTTTCTCGTCTTTGGCATGCGTCATAGGCAATCGCGGCCAGAGCAACTACGGGGCTGCGAACATGTTCATGACAAGCCTGGCTTGCCAAAGGAGAAAGCGCGGTGTCCCAGCGTCAATTATCGACATCGGAATGCTGTTGGGCGTGGGCTACGTCGCGCGGTCTGGCGATCAGTACGAGGCGCAGCTCAGGAAGTATAACTACATGTCCATCTCGGAGCCGGAATTCCACAGCATGTTTGCCGAGGCCATTGTCGCAGGACTGCCAGACTCTGGCCAGCATCCCGAGCTTATCACCGGCTTGGAACGAACGAACCTATCAGGCGAGAACTCAAGGACACCTTGGCATCGGAACCCTCGTTTTTCTCACTACATTTACGAAGAGCATGACATGGTGGAGAGCAAGAAGCACGGTCAGCCTTCACAGAGTGTACAACTCCAGCTTCGGACTGCTACAAACAATCAGGAAGCGCTCGCCACCTTAGAAACTTGCTTTTCTAAGAAGCTTGAGCTGGTCTTGCAGGTTCCATCAGAGAAAATAGACAAGACAGTACCCCTGATGAAACTTGGGATTGACTCATTGGTTGCGGTCGAGATCCGCTCTTGGTTTCTCAAGGAGCTTACTGTCGATATGCCGGTCCTCAAGATGCTTAGCGGCGCCTCGTTGACTGATATATGCAAGGACGCCTTGGCAAGACTGCCAGAATCTCTCAAGCCAACCAAGCCTGATGATGGCGAACCTGAATCTACAAATTCGAGCCGCGCGTTGTCCAAAAAGGATGCAGCACAGCCGTCCCAGCAGGTGCCAGTTCCGGAAGTTGTTACCCCAGGAAACACAGAGACCGAGGTAGCTTCCCTTGAAGGCTCAGTCGTGGAATTTGACGGCATTTTGTCGACTGACACGGTCAGGACAAGTTCTGAGTCTTCTTACGACAACGTTACCGTCGAGCAAGCGTATCAACGGGTCGGCGAGATGTCTTATGCACAGTCTCGGCTTTACTTCTTGCATGTATACCTTCAGGACAAGTCCACGTACAACGTCACGTTCTCCGGAAAAGTCAAAGGACCTCTGGATATCCATCAGCTCAGAGGAGCACTGCGAGCAGTGGCTGATGTGCACGAGAGCCTCCGGAGCTCGTTTTTCGTCGACCGACTCACCGGCAAGCCTATACAAGCTGTCAATCAGGAGTCTGACATTGAAGTGGAACACAAGGAGGTGAGAAGCGAGTCAGACATTGACATCGAGCTTGACACGCTGAAGCATATCGAATTCGACATTGAGCACGGCCGAACAATGAAAGTAGTCGTGCTTTCAGAATCTCGATTTGAGCACCACATTCTATTCTGTTACCATCATGTCGTTCTTGACGGTATAAGCTGGCTGCTGTTCCTCCGCGATCTGAACAATGCGTACGGCCTCAGATCTGTGAAACGTCCACTGCAACAAGCCATCGACTTTTCCGCAAAACAAAGAAGAGAATATGTGGTGCACAAGATCCAGAACGAACTGCGATATTGGAGTGCGGAGCACGCCTCTCCGCCCGGAGCCATACCCTTGTTCCCATTCTCCAAGGTGAAATCCCGGCAAGTCCTGAAGGCGTATGATACGAGGACCTTCGAAACAAAATTAAAGCCGTCTTTGGCAAAACGTGTCAAGCAGCGAAGTTCTGAACTTCAAGTTACTTCTTTTCACTTCTATCTCTCGGCACTGGGTGCTTTCCTGTCTCGTTGCCTTGGTACAAACGACCTCAACATCGGAATATTGGACGCTAACCGGACGGATGCTGAAGACCTTGAAACAGTAGGCTTCTTCCTGAACCTGTTGCCAATTCGGTTCAAGCTTGAATCGAATAAACCATTCTCCGAACTAGCTCGGCAAACCCGAAACAAGGTTTTCGCCGCTCTGGCCAACTCGCGTGTCCCGTTCGACACTATCCTCGATCATCTCAAGATCTCTAGGTCAGGGACCCAGAGTCCGATGTTCCAGGTTGCATTGAACTATCGGATGGGAGACTCGTATCACAGCCCTCTTGGAAACTGCGCCATCGAGTGGAATACCGCGATCCCTGCCCGTAATCCTTACGACTTAACCGTTGACATCACGGAGACTCCCGACGGTGTGACCCTACTGGGATTCACGACACAATCGTACATGTACAGCGCCTCGGATTCGAAGAGACTTCAAAAATGGTACATCCATTATCTGGAGGCCCTGACAGATACACCTTCTACCCTTCTCTCAGACTGTTCTCTTGCCGACGACGATGACGTTAAACACGCTATAGAGATAGGCAGTGGTGACCGGAGGCAAGTAGACTGGCCGAATACCCTCGCACACCGTATCGACGAAATGGCAGCGGCCCATCCTCGATCCACGGCTGTCAAAGACGGCTCGGGTATGAGCCTCAGTTACACCAGAATGATGGCTCGGGCCCATCAAATCGGAAATCACCTTCGCCAGGCGTCCGTCAAGCCAGGCTCATACGTTGCGACCCTATTGGAGCCGGTAGCAGACGTAGTTTGCAGCCTCCTGGCTATCATGCGACTAGGCCTTATCTACGTGCCCTTGGACCTCCGCAACCCACCTGAGCGGTTATATTCCATCGTGTCGGATAGCAAACCAAGCGCCATCATCTGCCACGATGCGACGGTACAACAGGCGCAAGGGCTTGCTTCCCCCGAGACTACCGTCATCAATCTCTCGAGTATATCACAAACGAGCAGCGCTCCTGTTTATAACCTAGCCAGAGGAGACCAACCTGGTTTTGTTCTGTACACGAGCGGGTCCACTGGGACTCCAAAGGGCGTTGTTTTGACGCACGATGGCTTCAAAAACCAGATATTTGCAATTTCCCAACTGTTCGGCGTGGGCCGCGAGGTGGTTCTCCAGCAAAGCGCATTTGGATTCGACATGTCGCTCGAGCAGGTCTTCAGCGCTCTGGCGCACGGCGGAACCGTCATCATCGTACCGAAGGACGCCAGAGGTGATCCGGTGCGGATCGCGAATATCATGCTCTCCGAGACCGTGACTTACACTGAGTTCGTGCCGTCTGAGTATCTTTCGCTCCTTACCTACGGTTCGGCAACACTGCAGAAGTGTACGGCCTGGCGCCTGGCTTTCTCTGGAGGAGAGAAAATTACGGGACAACTTCGACGGGGCTTCCGGGCATTAGGCATTCCGAACCTTCAGCTCATCAATGTCTACGGTCCCACCGAGGTGACATTATCGTGCACGAGAGGCATCGTACCCTACAATGGAAGCAATATTGAGGCGGACCAAATGGATACCTCGGTTGGACGGGTGCTGCCGAACTACACGATTGCCATCGTGGATCAGGACCTAAGGCCTTTGCCAGCCGGATGCCCTGGCGAGATCTGCATCGATGGCGCAGGCACGGCGATAGGGTACCTTAATAGGCCCGAAGAAACAGCCAGAAAATTTGTCACGGGAGATTTTTCCAAGAAGACCGTTTACCGTAGTGGTGACAAAGGCCGGATACTTGAGGACGGGACTGTGCATTTCCTCGGTCGGCTTGACGGAGACAGCCAGGTGAAGATCCACGGCATTCGCATTGAACTTGACGAAATAGCCGCAGCCCTACTCAATGTCGCCAATCCTGCGCTTGTGGATGCCGCCATCTCATTCCGTCCAGACTCCGACGTCCTCGTCGCCTTTGTTGTCTTTGCAGCCGATTTCGTGGGAGATAAAGAGACTTTCAGCGAGCAACTCAAGACGCGGTTGCCTTTCCCTCCATACATGTGTCCAACTTTTGTTGTTGCCCTCGATAACCTCCCAACGAGTCCCAACGGCAAAAAAGACCGCCTCGCAATTGATAGGCTCCCTCTGCCTCTCGCAAAAGCAAGCACCGCCACAACGGACGACAATCTTTCATCTTCCGAGGTTCAGGTGAAGAGGATCTGGGAAGAAGTACTTCCAAACACGCTGGGATCGTTCCGGGTAGGCCCAGATTCAGACTTTTTCCGCGTCGGCGGCAACTCTCTCCTGCTACTCAAACTGCAGGCCGCATTGAGAGCTAGGTTCCACGCAGATGTCCCCCTGCCAGAACTGTTCCAGTCTAGCACAATCAGACAAATGGCATGGCGGATCCAGCCGAAGCCCGCGAACAGCATATTGTCTGCTCCAGCAGAGCTGGACTGGAATCATGAGATCAGCACGCTTTGCGAAGGGCTGCCCTCGGCGCCACAAGCACTTCCTCCCACCTCGAAGACCGGGCTTGTCATCATACTCACAGGGGCCACAGGCTTCCTTGGAACGCACGTCTTGCAACGGCTAATCGCAAACCCACGCGTCAAAGAGGTACATTGCATCGCGATCCGGCCCGACGGCAGCACCGGCGCACCGCGCCACGTCGCACCCGCCCTCCGCATCAGCGGCAAGGTCTTTGAGCACAGCGGCGACTTGGCTGAACATCGCTCATTTGGTCTGCCGCCCTCTGAGCTGGAGTCCCTCGCCGCGCGTGCCCATCTCATCATCCACAACGGCGCCGATGTCTCCTTCTTGAAGAGTTACGCGACGCTGCGAGCGCCCAACGTGCTCTCCACGCGCACTCTCACCGCCATTGCCATCCGGCGCGGCCTACCCTTGCACTTCGTATCCTCAGCATCCGTGGCCCACTTCATGCCAACAGAGAACGACAGCCACGGCCTGGCCGAGACATCGATCGCTGCTACCCACACCCCGTCGCCTGACTCCGCCACCCAGGAGGCGCATGGCTACGCAGCGTCTAAGTGGGCGAGTGAGGCGCTGCTGGAGCGAGCGGCGACGACGCGCGACTTCCGCGCCTGCATCCATCGACCGACGAGCGTCGTAGGCCCCGACGCGCCTGCCACAGATCTTATGGCCAGTTTGCTGCGATATTCGGCGCTTCTGCGCACGGTGCCGCGCTTCGAGGGTAATGTGGATGGTGTCTTCGACTTTGTCGCAGTTGAGGACGTGGCTACGGGCATCATAAGCGCGGCGTTGCGCTCCCTGGGGATGAATGACAAGGGCGGAGACGCGGTTCGTTATGTCCATCATTGTAACGATGTGAAGGTCCTACCGGACAAATTCCGAACTTACATGGAGGAGAGGGAGGGGTACATTTTTAGAGAGCTGCCATTGCAGGCTTGGATCAATATGGCTCGAGGCGCTGGTATGAACGAGTTGGTCGCGGAGTATCTGAGCAGTGCCACGGCTTCTGGAAAACAGATTACACTGCCTATGGTAAGAAGGGGCAAAGATGATCTAGGTGTAGCCTTTTAGTTGCGTGTCTGGAGTAGAGGGTGGCATTTAGGGCTAGAATAAATGTAGATGTTTATTCGTTATCCCCGCTTTACTACACACCTCTTGCATCCTATCTAGATGTCTTTTCTGCCATATATTACCATCCCCATGGCCGCAATGCTCGCTGATTTCCTCATCAAGTGGCTTTGTTTCAAGGCGTGTTAAAGACCTTTCCTCACCTCCTACACTCTCAATGTAAGATACAAAAACATCAAGAAAGACATCCCCGTACCACGTGCCAGGAATTCGCGTCACCGATTCAAGGTCTTCTTCACCACCTTGAACAAATACCATGTAAAGGATCATGTCGTCCCGCAGGCAGAGTCGCTGCAGGCTACGCGGTAGGATATCGCTTAATGACTTGGTTGTGTCCAATTCCTTCCTAGAATGAATATGTTTCTGCAACTCAGAAATTTCCTATTGTACTTCTACGGCCTACCAAGGTAGTTCTGCACCATCATACTGTAGAAAGCGGCCACCAAAGTCTTTGCTTTCAGCATCGTCAATCTGTTCATTAACCGTCAGCCAAAACTCTACGCTTGCCATCTTGAACTTAGTGCCTACCAATTTTTGAATCTGGCCTGCACTGTCCTCCACCTCCAGCCATTTTAGGTCCAATTTCAACCCCATTTTTTCTCCTTGGTCACGGGCGTTGTTTCCCATGTCTGTCTTAACAGGCCTGTAATTCGTTAGCCTTTTCATTCCCAGATATGCACACTATCGAAAGAAACAACAACCACTTACCCAGGATGTACTACAAAAGCAACCACCTCCTTATTCTCTTGAGCCAGCCACTTGATCAAGTAGTTCGCCATCGCCTTACTCGCGCCGTACAGCGCGTATCCCGGGAAGCTGGCATTCAGCCCAAAACTACCTACGTTGCTGGACACAAGCACGAACCGGGGCTTCTTCCCCTGGTCCCCTTTCTCATTTCTCCTTCTTTCCGCCGCCTCCTGCATCATCTTCAATGCCGCGCCGAACAGCTCAAGCGGACCATGCGCGTTCACCTCGACAAAGCGCTGCAGCTCGTCGCGGCTTTCTTCGGCCAGCGGCCGACCCGTGGTATAGCCGATGCCTGCGTTTGCGATGACTACATCGAGCGAATGGATGGCGTGGTCGGAGGCGAGGGCAGCGAAAGCTGCCTTGATTGACGCAGACGACGCGTAGTCCATCTGGATAATAATGAGGCGTGAGGTGGTGCTCCCGTCATTTGCATCTTGAGCGAGACCCAGCTCGCGAAGCGATTGCGCGGAGGGGTGCGCGGGATCGCGGACGGCGGCAATGACGGTGTGGTGCGGGCGCGCCAGATACAAGGCGACTAGGCCCTTGCCGATGCCTTAACTTGTCATTAGCCAGAAAACCCGAGGTTATTTGTGCATTCAATTTAGGGATATATCTACCGCGGTTTGCGCCAGTGACGAGGCAGGTAGTGTTGAGAGTCATTGTTGATATTGTTGATATTGTTGATGGAATTTAGAGATACTGTAGGAATAGATCTGGTGGAACAAAGGGTATATATCTTCGGCCTCATTCAAGAATTTGTCAGCACATGCAGCTTACTGGTTATAAGTGGGGGACTTGCAGGGGCAAGAACTTGTTTTGAAAGTTTTCCGACGGGCTTGGCTTCTATAGACATCTTATCCCACCCCGGGCATACATGCATACAATAGTGGAGCACGTGTTTTCTAGAGAAACTATAGCGAAATAGATCAATCACTTTAAAATAATGCTCAACCAAAAGCCAGATCCGAACTTACTAACCAAGGCCCGACCCGGGCCAATACTACCAGCAAAAGAAGGCGCACAGCACACACAACACCTTATCGTAGTAGCAAAGCCTGCACCGCCTTAGCGCGGCCGTAAGGCTAGGCTCCATCACAATAGCGTCCACGCCCACCAGACGCAAATTCTCTCACCGGTGGTCAAAGCGCAGACTTGGCACAGCGTCTAAACTAT